AGAGGTGCTGGGGCTCAGCACTGCCCAAGAGCGTGTTCTGGGCTGGGGCCGCCACAGCTCCTCCCCCCCCGGCACCGCTGCTTCGGCTGCAGGGAGGGGGAGCCTGGCCCAACTGGGGCCAGGAAGGGCCTCGAGTTCAACCCTTGCTCTGTGCAGGACCCAGAGTTCTGGAACGCCTCCGGTGCGGGAGAGCCCACCGACCTCCCAGGGAATGGCTTGCATTGCCGTATTTCTCCAGCAGCCGGGAGATTTTTCCTGATGTCCAGCTAGAACCTGGCTTCCTGTGGAGGGGGGGCTTGAGAGAGAGCCGCCTCTACGTCTCCCCCCACCCCCCGCTTGCTGCTCTCTGGGATGGCTGAGAAGCCATCCTGGCCATCCTCTCTGTGACAACCTTTCAAGAATTAGCAAAGGACTTTTTCCTTCTCTCGAACCTGCTGCTGTTAAAGTCGTTCGGGGAGGATCCAAGGCGAGGGAGTGCCCGCTGCCCACGGGGGACCCTGCTTCCCTCCCACCTCCTGCCCCGGTCTTGCCTCCTCCCCCCTCCCTTCAGATAAATGCAGCTGCAGTCCTGCGGCTTGGCTGCAGCATGCCAGCGCCCCCCCTCTGCGCCCGCCCAAGGCCCTCGTGGGGGTGGGGACCTGCCAGGCCAGCGGCTGCTCCGCTTTCCCTTTTGTGGCCCCACCCACAGCTGCCCTCTCTTTTCAGACCCAGCCTCTGTGGCGAGACCTGCTGCCCAGGGTGGTCCCTCGCCCCCAAGACCGGCAAGTGCACCAAAGGTAAGGCAGGCTTTGGAGGCCGGGGGGGGGGGCAGTTCCGGGGGCATGGCTGCCCAGCCCCCCGTGCAGACCTGAGCGGCTCCGCCTCCTCTCCTGCCCGCAGCCTGCTCACTCCGTCTTGGAGGGGCACGGGCAGGCCGTGCCAGTCACAGGGTGGCCTGGCGCTCCCGCTTCCTTGCCTGGCGCACCCTGGAACCTGGTGGGGGCCGGGGCCGCTTTGGAAAGGAATCATTGCACACCTGAAGGGGGCTCCTGGAGGATGGGGCTGGGCTCCTTGAGGGAGCAGGCTGCCCTGGAGCACTGGGGGGCAGAGTGGTAGAGCTGTTTCTTCGCAAACCATTCCTGGGCTTCCTGCTGGCTGCTGTGGGAAAGCGAGGCGATAGGCAAGAAGGACTCCTTTGTGGAGAGTTTCTGCTAGTGCTGGTTATACTTTGCACATGCTCAGACCATTTTTAATGAGTTCACATGTTCTACAGCCAAGATTTGATTCAGCAGAGGTGCCTCAGCAACCCTTTCCCCAGCGTGCGTTTGGTTCATGTGGCCCTCCTTGGGGGCCTGGCTGCAGCTCGGGGGGCCCAACACTGCGTGCACCAGGGTCCCTCGTCAGTTTCTTGCAGCATCTCTGGGAGGGCTGGGAAAGCGGCCGCCTGCAGCCCCGGAGAGAGCCCGATGCTCTGCGCTGTGCAGGGGGGATCCGGGTCGCCCCGACTCCGCCTAAGACAGCAAGGGTCTCTCCCCACGCCCCGCCACTCACTGGAGCATCTTGCAGGCCCGCCGTGGGCCAGCAGGGGGCAGCAGCTGCTTGTGTCGAGGAGGCTCGTGGCCACCAGACATGCAGAGGCAGGATCCTGCCAGCAGTCACCCCGTGGTCACCCTGGTTCCACCCTACCTGAGCAGACTGGGAGTTCTCTGGGACCTCGGCCTGGCAGGGCTGCTGGAGGCAGAAAGCAGGCCCGTCCACATGCCGCACTGGAGTGCTTTCTGCCCTGTAGGGAGCCCTGGGGTGGCCGAAGGGGAGTGGGAAGGGGCCCCCGAAGCACGTGGGTGAAAGGCTAATGAACACACTTGGTCTTCCTCCTCTTCCTCAGCCAACTGCACCCCTCGATGCCGGAACGGTGGCCAGTGTAAATCTCCCCAGCGCTGCACCTGCCGCCCAGGCTTTGGGGGCCCCCGATGTGAACGCTCCACGCTCGTTGCCAGCCTGGCCCGGCGGCCCCCTGCGGCCCCCATGTGGCCCATGGCCGTTCGCTGGCAGCCTCTGACGTGAGTTGGGCGGGGAGAACACGTTCTCTCTCCTCTTTGCATGCAGATACCCCGACGAGCCCCAGTCTAGTGTTGAACCCCCGCCGGGGGCACTGCTTCTTTTGCCAGTCTGCCTGAAGCAAGTGAAGGTAGCTAGCAAGGGCTTGGGGGTGTCGATGAGGGCTTGCAAGCCCTCCCCAAAGGAGGAGAATAAACAGCGAGTGTAAACCCCACGGATTAAGCTGCGGATTTGCCCTGAGGTGAGCCAAATTCGGAGATACTTAAAAAATGAAAAGAAGAAAATATTCCACTCTTTTAGAGGCAGAATTTCAGCCGCCAGAGACATGGTTATCTCTTGTTCTCTAAGGCCTCTGGATAGCAAGGGAGGGAAACGATTGCCAGGAAAGGATGGCAAATTGGCAGAGAACCCGCTTGAATTCTTTGTATCACCCTGCCGGGAATTGTAACCATGTCCGAGTGGCTGCTTGGAAGGCGTTCCTGAGAGAATTGTAGAAAGCACAATGGCAGCCTGGGTGGAGCCGCCTGATAAGCGAAATGAGGGGTCACCCTGACTGGGACACAGTCCTTGGTCCTCGTAGACTTCAAAGACAATGCACAAGTTATTTCCCAGTTGTTCTAAGAAAAACATGTAATGTTGATAAAGTCTGTCATTTTCCCAGAGGACTGAAAGATAACCTATATGACATTTTTATAATGGGAATGGGGTAAGAAGGGCTCCAGGAAATTAAACGATCAGAAAGCATTACTGCTACGAGTGGCAGTATGTGGAGGAATGAGCCCCGGTGGGGAAGGATCAGCAAGGCTTCTCGGAAGGCGGGCACTGCCTCCCCTGCCTGTGGGCATGCTTGGAATGTCAGTGGGCACAGATCACGGGGGCCACCTGGGGACGGTCCGCTTGCCTTCCGAGAAGCTTTGGACGCAGTCCCATTCCTAGGATAGTCCTTGTGCCTCCTTTGAGTGGAAGCTGCCGAGGCACATGGTGGCGAGTCGAGGGGCTGCACCGAGGGACGTGGGCAGGCATTCTGCAGGCGGCTGCTCTGCTCTGCTCTGCCAGGAGTTGGCTGGTCGTGGTGGTGGTGCCCACAGGCCGTGGCTGGAGGAGGGGGCAGCTTTCTGCAGGGGGCTTGAGCGGGTGCCCAGAGAGGAGTGCATCAGGTCTGGCGGAGGAGAATGCGTGGCCCGAGCGAATGACCTGAGTGTCCCATCCCTCAGGCTGGCGGAACTGCGCAACGTCTTGCGGAGGCGAAAGGCCCTGGACCCCTCCGAGAAGATGGCTGCGATCCTGGCCCAGCGCCTGGCGTCTCGACCTGATGGTGGCAGCACGGCCCCCCCCAGCCCCACCGCACTGGCAACACAGAGGCCCCATGGTACAGGGCACGGGAGGAGGGCAGGAGGCGTGGGGCAGCGATCCACATGCGTCTTGGGCAGGCGGGTGAAGGCAGGCAGGTGAGGAGGCATGCGAAGCCACAGGCTCTGCAGTCGGGGAGAGCTCGGGTGCGCCCGCGAGCCTGCCTTCCCACCATGGGCAGGTGCTCGGCCGGGCCAGCAGCCTGGAGCCCTGCATGGAAGGGCGTCTCTGCCTGTGGAGGGGAGGGCTAGCCTGCCGCCCCCTTGCAGAAGAGGCTGCGCTGGCTGGCAGTGCACGGGGTGCGGGGGAACCGCGTCCCGCCTTGCCAGCCTGGGAAGTGGCGGGCGCGCGTTCGCCTCGCCCGCCCCTCCTCTCCCCTCGCCCGCAGTTCTTGGAAGGGCTCCGGCCAGCGCAGCCTCCTCCCTCCGCGTCCAGGCATTCTTTGCGCGTCCCCCGCCCGCCTTGGCCGGGTCTTTGCAGATGATGTCAGGCGAGCTGCTCTGGGAAGGCGAGGCCGGGGAGGAAGGGCAGCTCCGCTCCCCCCGCCGCCCACCATCCCGCTTCCTCCTCGGGGAGCCGTCAGGAAGCCCCGCCTCCCTCGCTGCCTTGGAGCGCTTCCCACCGGGCAGAGCGGGATGACTGCGGGCGCTCGCCCTGCCTTCCTCCCAGCCCGGGGCGCCCCGCATGCGTAGGGCGCCCCGCGCCGCCCCCGCAATTTTGCCGAAGGGGCGACGGGACGGTGGCCCCCAGAGCCGCGAAGGAAGCCCCCCCTCCTCGGGAGGCGCCAGGCAGCTGGGACCTTCCGAGCGCCCGGCCAGGAGGCGTCCGCGCTTCCACCCACCTGTGTGCGCCGCTCGTGTGCGAGCGATTGTTCTCAAGTTGGAACAGCCGCGGCGCGGGAGGGGCCCTGCTGGGCGGGAGCCCGCGGCGAGGCTGCCTTCCGCGGGGCGGGCGGAGCTCTGTGCGGGCCCCTTCGCGCCCCAAACCTGCGCCTACGGGCTGCGCGGCCGGGGGGCGGCCGGGCCGGGCCGGGCGCTCCCATGTTCGTGGGCAGCGGGCGGGAGAGGTGGGGTGGGCTGGGGCCCCGAAGTGCAGCCCTTGGGACTGGCGGCGGGGAGGAGGGGCCGCCGCCTTCGGGCCGGGCAGAAGCGGTCCTGCCCCCCGGTCTCCCGCGAGGAAGGCAGCTGGCGAGGGGGCGGGGGGGGGCGCGAGCGAGCGCCAAAGAAGTTCGGCGACTCGCAGGGAGGGGTCGCGCCGCGGGGCGTGCGCTGTGCCAAATGACAAAACCGCCTGACGTCCTCGCCAGAGGGGGGGCTTGAGAGAGAGCCGCCTCCGCGCCCCCCCGCGCTGCTCCTGGGCCAGGGCGGCCGCCCGTCTAGGAGGGTCTGCATTTGGGCGCATGGGAAGCGGCCGAAGAGTTAACAGCCCCGGCCGCGGTCCCTCGTAAACATTGTGGTTGGCGTGGCGCCCGCCCCCCTGCCGCCCGGCCCGGCCGCTGCTTTCAATTAGCGAGGGCCGTGTGCGCCGCGCCGCGCCGCGCCGTGTCCCGTCCTGTCGCGCCGCGCCGCGCCGCGCCGTGCCGTGTCGGCAGCGAGGCGCACTCCCGGCTGCGCTGCCCTGCCCGCCTGCCCGCCGGCCGCCGCTGCGCGCGCTGCCCGAGACCATGATCCTGGGCCGGCGCCGCCCCTGCCTGCTGCTGCTGCTGCCGCTGGGCCTGCTGCTGGGCTGCCGCCCGCTGCCCACGGGCGCGCAGCGGGTCAAGGTGCTCTTCACCCCCGCCATCTGCCGCGTGCACTGCCGCGAGGGGCGCTGCAGCAACCGCTGCGAGCGGGGCAACGCCACCACCCTGTACAGCGGGGAGAACGCCCGGCCGGCCGAGGGGGCCCCCGGATTCCGCGTCTGTGAGTACCGGGGAGGCTCCACGCCTAGCGTGTTCCGGGGACCGCCGGCAGTGGGGGCAGGCGAGCACCCTGCTGTGTGGGGGGGCAGGCGAGCGCCCCTCGCGGGCCGCTTTCCTTCCTCGCGTGGGCCACCTGGGGCCCGCACGCACATGCTCCTGCACGCTGGCCCCCAGGTGCATCACAGGCCCCACCCAAGGCACGCACCGCTGGGAGGCTTCACTGGCGCCCGTGGGCCGGGAAGGGCCCTTTTCTCCAGCTGCTGGTGCCGCACCTTTACCTGGGTTGCCGCAGGCACACCCACAGATGGGTCCGCTCAGCCGAGTGCTGAGCCTCCCTGGAATGCCGAAGGGCCACCCAGCCACCCCCCCTTGGCCAGGTGCCTACAGCAAGCCTCCCCCTCCCCAGCCTCTCGTGATGGTCCCGCCCCCCCCCCCCGCCCCAGCCAGCTGCTTCCTCTGCAGTGGGATGCCTGCAGCCTGGCGAGCCCTCTGGTTGCTGTGGGGGCCCTTCCCCGCTTTGGGGGCGGGAGCAGAGGAGGGCAGCCAAGGCTGTGGCAGGCCTGCATGGGGTCATGACCGGCTCGGGTGCGAGGAGCAAGGGTGGGCTAGGCGCAAGGAAAGGGGGCCTGGTCTCGCTCTTCCCTGGGCACGTGCGGTCTTGGGGAGGGGCGATCCCGGAGCGGTTGCGGTTTGCTTGTCCAATGGTTTCCCCACTTTGCACCTCTGCCCTTGGTGGCTCACGATGATAGAGGCAGCTAAAAAAAGCAAGCGGCGTGGCCGTGAACCAGCTGGCAGCCTCGATTCGGGGGCAGTCTGCCCGGCAGGTGAGGCAGCACCTGGGTGGGCAGAGGGAGCGGCTGGCTGTGGCTGCCACGCAGGGCGCCCCGAAGGGCTCAGCCCTGCCGGGCGCCACCTCCAAGCGCGCTCTCGGGCGGCCCGCCTTGGGAGCCCCGCCGGGCAGGGAGCTCGCTCGCTGTCCCACCACCCGGCTGTGTACGGGCCCCCGATCCAGCTGGAGCCTCCTCAGCCCCTGGGGCCGGGAACTGGAGGACAGACAGCAGCCTGGCACCCTGCCACAGCCAGATGGGACCGGCTGCCTCGGGCAGGGCGCCTGGGCTCCGGCCGCCCCCCCCCCCGGCTGAGCTGCGCCCCGAGGCATGCACGGGCAGGAGGGGTGCCAGTGGGCGGGGGTGGCCCAAGCCCCCCCCGGCCCCGGGTTCTCCCCGCCCCCCTTTCCTGCGGGCACTGTGATCCCTGAGTGTGTGTGTGCTGTGCGTGTGCAGGAGTGCAGGAGTGCGCGAGGCAGAGGGACTCTGCGGTTCCTCCCACTGCGCTGTCCTGTGATGCAGCCCAGCGGGCGTGGGTGGCTGGGCCGGGCCGGGCCGGGCCGGGCCGGGCCGGGCAGGGCGTCTCCTGGTGGGCCGCCGGCCCGGCCTGCCCCCCCGTGCGCTGTGGAGAGCAGCAGAGCCACAGGGGCCCTTGGTGGTGTGGGGCTGGCCTCTCCCCAGCCTGCCCAGAGTGTGCTTTCCGGATGTTCTGCTCAGCGTTCCTGGCCGTGGAACATGTTGCTGGCTGGGACTGATGGGAGCTGGAGTCCCAAACGTCCCGAAGCAGTTTTGGCACGAGACTGTCACTGTGTGTGTGAATGTGCGGCAGCCGCTGCGCGAGACCCACGGGGCTGGCTGCTGGGCCGCTCTTCCCCGTCCCCTGCTTGCCCAGGCAGCTTGTCGGCACACTCTGGGCTGGAAGCCTCTGCACCCCAGTCCGGCTGGGCCGTGGCACATAGGGCTTCTTGCTGGGGAGGGAAAGCTGCCCCCCCTCCATGTGGAGGTCTGCCAAGGGCTGGGCTGCAGCAGGAGGGGGACCTGGCGGATGGGAGCTTTTTCTTCCGGGCAGTCCATGCCAGACCGCACGGCTCAAGTGTTATCTCGAAAGCTGAAAGCAGCCAGAGGTCAGGTCGGCCTGGTGGAAATGGCATGGGAAGGAAGCCCTCTGTCCATGCTCCGAGGCTGCCTGGCAGCCTTTCTTCCAATGTGCCCAAGGTGCTGCTTGGGAGTCCCTGCCAACAGCGCGACCCCCACCCCACTCTCCATCCCTGGCAGGTGGAGGTGCTCTGGAAGCCCCATGTTTGGCCGGCCAGCTGGCCTGCGCTCAGAGGCCCTGTGCCCGGGGGCTCCTGGCATGGCCTCACCGCTGAGTCTGAGCCAAGCTGAGGTGGGGGAGGCCGGTGGGGGAGGGGAGAGACGCCTGCCTCTGCGGTGGGAGCCACGGGAGAGACCCTCAGAAGGGGGGTGTGGCGCTCTGGGGCTCATCTCCCCCCCCCCCACCAGCAAGGCCACCCTCTTGCTGACACGGCCCCTCAGCCGCTCCCCTCACCTTCCAGACGGACTCGGGCTGCCAAGAACAACCGCGGCTGCCTGGGTGGCCACCCTCGTGCCTGGGCGCCTGGGCCGGTGGGACCTCCTCCAAGAGGCTTGGCTCCATCCCAGCCATGCAGGGAGTGGGGAGGGGGCCTCTGGTCCTACCCACCAGGCAGGGCAAGCGCAGAGGGCAGCCATCCCTGAGTGTGCGAGCTACAATGCCCACAGCTGTGCCTCCGGCAGAGAGCCCCGACAGCTCCCCCCCACAGCCCCTCCCTCAGCGCTCTGTGCCATGGATGAGGGCAGATAGCGCCCCCCCCCCGCCGTGTCTCCCGAGGTAAATGGCTGCAGGAGCCCCCCTTTGCGCATGGGCTGGTCCCCGCAGCCGACTCTGCCAGAGGCAGGGCGGCCCGAGAGCAGCCCACTTTGGGTCAAGTTACGGGCGAGCAGCCGTGGGGCCTGGCAGGAAAGGTGAGGGGATGCGGGGCCTGCCGGTGTCATGGGAGGCAGCGGCCCGCTGGGTTGGTGCGCAGGAATTCGTGCCGTGATTCTTGTGGCGCTGGTTGCAGGGCGGGAGCGGGAGAGTGTGTCTTGCTGGCGCTATTTTAGGCATGTCTCTCTCGAAAACTTACCTCTGCATGAAATATTTACATAAACCACCCAGGGTGCTTTGCCTCTGAGCAGCGTTGAGGGGAAATTGGAAAAAGAACAGAGTGTCTGGCTGCAGGGCTCCAGAGCAGCTGGCGAGGAGCCGGCCGCGGCCGACGCGAGTGGCGTCTCTTGGCCCGCCGCCCGCTGCCCTGGATGGGCTCGGTGCATGGGGACAGCTGAGCCGCTCGACATGGGCACTTTTGCCCCTTTGGGCAGTGGCCCGCAAGGTGTGGGGCGGTGAGGCCTGCCTCTGGGCCCAGATGCCCCTGGGGTGAGACAGGCCACCCTCCTGCCCCAGCCCCCTCCTCCCGTTCCCCCGGGAGGTCTTCTCCTTGAGGGCTTGATGAGCTTGCACCCGTGGCCAGCAGCTACTGGCGATCCACAGAGCCATGGAAGGGGTGCCATCAGGGTCTTTGCCCCAGTCAGCTGAAGGAGCGGGAAGCAAGGACAAGCCGGTGGCTGTGACCTTGGCAGTTTCCTGTGCTTAGGAAGCAGGTGGGTCAGTGGGGAGCTGTGCATGGACGTATGTGCTGACTCCGTAAAGAAGCCGCAGGGGGCACGTGCTTGTGGGGCCCCGTAAGTGGAGCCAACGCAATGGTGCAGAACCACAAGCAGGCCAGCAACTGATTTTCCACAAGAACGGGAAGCCCACCAGCCAGGATGGATCTGGGATGGGCACCGATGGCTCTGAACAGGCAGTGACTGTGAGAAAGAGACCTCGGGTGTGGCGGACAGCTGCCTGAAAGACGCGTAAATGAAGTAAATGAAAAGTAAATTCAGGAAAGGAGAGTAAAACTGCAGCGGTGCAGAGAAGGGCAGCTGGCATGACGAAGGGGCTGGAGTGGCTCCCATGCGGAGCAGTTGCAACAGGCGGGTTGTTTAGCGGAGAAGGACGATGAAGAGGGGGGTCCGGGGCAGAGGGGTGCCGAAGGAAGCGTGGCGTGGAGGAAGCGGCGAGGAGGACGCCTCCCTCGTTCCTTCTGCCAGAGCCCCCGGGGTCCCAATTCGAAGTGGCAGGGCCAGAGGTCTGGGGGGATCAGAGGAAGGGTCTCTCCGCACAGCACAAAGCTGAACCGTGGAAGTCACCTCCATGAGACGCCGCGACGGCCCCCCCGCCAGAGGGCTCCCCGAGGGGGTTGGCGCGTGCAGGGCGGGACGGCTGTGGCGCTGCTGGTCTCGCTGGCTGCGTCCTGCCCCTGGGAAGTGGCGGTGGGTCGGGGGCTGCTTTCCTCTATCCCGTGGGGGGATCTGGGGGCAGCTGGTCGGCAGCCATTGAATGGGGGGGGGGAATGGAGAGGCGAGCGGGGCTTTTCCTTCATTCATTGTACCTCCTAATGTGCTCCTTCTCTCTCTCAGTCCTGTGCCCCCTCATCTGCCAAAATGGGGGAGTCTGCCTCAAGAAAGACCAGTGTCTGTGCCCCCCCAACTGGACTGGCAAGTTCTGCCACATCCCGGCTCTTCCTCGTTCCCACGGACAGGCCCCCGCCCGCCGAGGGACGGACGCCCGGTCGGAGGGGGGAATGCAGCCCGCCACCAAGTCTGTCTACACCCTCCCCATCGCCAACCACCACGAAGAGCGTCATGGTAAGACCGGGGCGGCAGAGGAGGTCTGCTCGTGCAGGAGAGGGCCGTGCTCCAGGCAGAGGCTCTGCCTGCTGTGCAGGAAGCGCCAGATCCGGTCCCCGCCGTCCCCAGAAAATGGTGGGGTAGCAGGCGTCAGCAGAGGGCCCTCCTGGCCCCAAATACCAGGAGCTGCATCCAGTCAGGGGAGGCAGCACGGGGCTTGCCAGACCAAAGGGCGGATTGCACTAGGCATCGCCACGCGTTTCTGTTGTTGCGAAACCCCTCCGTGCCAAGTGCATGATGCTGCGGCACAGAAGGCTAAGGCCATCCCAGTTTGCGTTGGCAGATGGTCTGCACCTGCAGCTGGGCAGTGAGCGCCCTGCTTGCTTGGTGCAGGAAAAAGTGCTTTGGTTTGAGGCAGCTCTGCTGGGAAAGGATAGGCTGAACAGGGAAGGAATTGCAGGCATGATAAACGGCAGCTGGAAGGGTGCCTGGAATATTTGGCCTGGAGACAGGCAGAGTGAGAGGGACATGTTGCTCATTGCAAATATTTGAGGCGCTCTCAAGAAAAATGGGACATCCTGTCTCCCTGCCCCGTTCACTGTGGAAAAGATTAACTATTGTGGGGCGGGTGGAACAAAAAGGCGAGAGCTGAACGTGGGAAGCGTCTGTGGCGGAAGCAGCCAGCCGGTGAGGGCTGCTGGCCCGGAGGCTCTTCCGCAGCCACAGGTGTGCCACCGGGGCGGCTGTGCGCTCGGTTCACCCCCAGCGTGTGCACAGGGGTGGGGTGGGGAGGGTCTGGTGTCCCCCACTGGAAATGCTGTGCAGGAGGGGTGGGCCCGGGATACCCCAAGGCCGCCCCTGCGCGCGGCTCTCCTGCTAATGGAGGCTGCCTCTCGCCTGGCCAAGCCCACAGCCACCTCCCTGTGGGGCTTCCCTGCGCGGCCCCTTCTTGGCTGGTGTGGCCTGGGCCTCTGTGTCCCCCGCCACCGCGGCCCTTTGCACGCCCTCCCTCTGGGAGCCCTGCCTGGGCAGCGCCGGGGAAGGAGTGCGAGGCAGGGAAGGGGGCCAAGCGAGGCTGCCTCTGTCGGGGAAAGCCGCCAGAAGGGATGGAGTGCGGCAGAACGGGGGCTGCTGGCGGTTCCCTGCTGGGCAAGGGCTCAGGCCACCAGAGGGGGCGTGCGCTCTGCCCCGGGGGCCTGCTCGGGCGGTGCGAGGGGTGGGCGAGGCTGCTGCTCCTCACTGTAGCCTTACGGCCCAGGCCCAGGCTTGGGGGTGGGAGAGGGTTAGGGTTATGCGATGCCCCTCTGGCCCGCGCACGTCCCGTGACCTGCCCCCTTCCCCAGGCGTGGCGTCGGTGGCAAACGTCTACGTGGAGCACCCGCCCGAGGCCTCCGTCGTCATCCACCAGGTGGAACGGGTGACCGAGGACCCGCCGGGGGACGCCAACGCCCTCCCGCTCTCCCGCCCGGCCTTCCGCAGCGCCCTGGCCCAGAGCAGCGCGCGCGACCCGGCTGGCTACCACGTGGACTCCGGCTTCGGCTACTGCTTCAGGCAGCTCCGCGGCGAGGAGGTTGCCGTGCGCTCGGGGCCCGACTCAGCGGGGCGGGGGGGGCCTCTGGCCACGAAACCGGCCCGCTTGACCCCTGCGGGCGAGGGCAGCTCCTGCCTGGGGGTGGTGGCGGTCCCCTCCTCCCGCACCCCACGCATGCCTGCTCCCCAGGCAGGAGTCCCGCCCGCCCGCCCGCCCGCCTGCAGACGCCTGTGGAAGGGCGGAGGCTGCATTCCCCCAGGGGTGGGCGAGGGGCACAGGCGTGGGGGGGCCGGGCTGGCAGCTGGGGGGCTGCCTCTGTCCGAGGCCATTCGCTGGCCTCAAAGACCTCCCCTGCAGCCGCTGCCAGTGGCCGGGCCTCCGTCCCCTCCTGCGTGGGGTCTGCACGCCCACAGCTCGGCACATGCACAAGCGAGGGCTCCCGCATCCTGAGCGTTCGGGGAAGCCCCCTTCGCACGGAGGTGCGGGCTGAGAGGGAGGCCGTGCCGCGGCCCCGAGAGGGCGAGCTGGGGGCACGGGTGCCCCGGGCCTCCCCCGGGGGCTGGCAGTGTGCCTCGTCCCAGCCCTGGCTGACCCTGCCTCCCTCTCGCAGTGCAGTGCCCCCCTGCCTGGCCTGCGCACCCGTGAGATCTGCTGCCGGGGGGCCGGCGTGGCCTGGGGTGTTCACGACTGTCAGCCCTGCGCCAACGGGGACGCCGGTATGTCTGATGAAGGACCCCCCCATGCGCAGGTGGAGCCGCCCGGGGCCGGGAGCCGCAAGGTGTGGATGCACCGGGCTGAGCTGGCTGCACCCTCCGCTGGGCAAGGGCCCCCCGGCCCAAATGTCTCCATCCTAGTCCAGTCCGCGCACTCTGCGGCCCCTGCACCTCCATGGGGCAGGCGCCATCTGTGGCACGGGGCCCAGGGCAGCCTGGCCGCTCTTACTGCCGCTTGTTCTCAGCCGGACCTGAAGGGGCAGGGGGCGCATGGGGGGGGGCAAGGCGTGAGGGAGGCCTTCCCCCGCCCACCCCGTCACGGCATGTCCTCTCCCCAAAGATGGCACTGGCCCGGTGGGAAGGAATGAGGTGGCCTGCCCCAGGGGCTTCCAGCGTCAGAACGGCTCCTGCCTCGGTGAGTGGCTGCCGCCTCTGCCTCGGGGGGGGGGGGGGGTTGGCCGGCAGCAAAGGGAAGCAGCTCGCCCCCACGAGCCTCCCACGGTCATCTGTGGCAAGTCCTGCCGGCTGTGCTCCGGAAAGCCGTGGGGTTTTGCCAGGGGCAAAGTGCTCTGGCCGGTCGGTGACCAAGTGGTCTGTGGATCGTGCCTCGGCCGGCTCCCCTTGACCCTTCTGGCCCCCTCCCCCTTTCTCCCTTCCCCAGACGTGGATGAGTGCCAGGAGGGCAGCTTCTGCCACAACGGAGACTGCACCAATACGCGGGGCAGCTTCGCCTGCGTGTGCCACGAGGGGTACATCCTGGACTCATCCCGCAGCAGCTGCATCTGTGAGTCTGACAAGGGGTGCGGGGTGCCTGCTGGCAGGAGGGATGCCCCATGGCGCCCGCAGGGCGATCCGTGAGTGGTGCCCCAAATCCTCGCAGCCACGCGGCCCTTGCACGCTGGGCTTCCGTGCAGCCTCTCCCCCTTGGCTCCCGAGGCTTGGACCAGCTGTGGGTTGCGCCCTGAAGTGCCCTGAAGGGCAGGCTTCGCAGAATGACCTTTCCTGTGTGCAGTGAAACTCTTCTCCCGTTTTAAAGCAGGGGAGCCCTAAAAAATACTCCCCCACTCTATTGCCAGTGGGGGCAGCCCAGCTTTTCCCCACTCATGGCCACTTGTGCTTGTCCCCGGGCAGCTCACCACGTGATCTCAGAGGCCAAGGGCCCCTGCTTCCGCGTGCTGCGGGACGGTGGCTGCTCCCTGCCGATCCTCCGCAACATCACCAAGCAGATCTGCTGCTGCAGCCGCGTGGGCAAGGGTTGGGGCCACGGCTGCGAGCGCTGCCCGCCCTTTGGCTCAGGTGAGGCCTGGGGTGGCCGGCAGGCCGGCAGGAGACTCCCTGGGGGCCTCGAGGAGGGCGAGGGGGCCGGGCTTGGCCTGTGGCGGGAGAGCCAGAGGGAGCCGTGCGGGGCACCTCAGGCCTCTCGCTCGTAGCCCGTCAGGGGTTCGGGGAAGGCTTGGGGGGTCCAGGCACACCTCAGGTCAGCAACAAGCCACTGGGGCAGAGAAAGGGAAGGCAGGGTCGGCCCCGACCCCCCAGTCCCCGTCCCCGTCCCCCCTCTCAGACTGCTCTTCTCTTTGCCAGATGGGTTCAAGGACATCTGTCCCGCTGGCCCCGGGTACCACTACTCAGCCTCGGACCTGCGCTACGACACGCGCTTCCTTGGCCAGGACCTGCCCCGGGTGCCGCTCAGCCGCCAACCAGGAGGACGGGAGCCTGCAGCCAGGCCACCTCAGATGACAGCAGCACCTGCCCTCCGTAGGTCCCCTGCAGAGGGGCAATGGGGAGGGGAGGGGAAGCCACCTCCAGTGTGGGCCAGCACTGTCCCTTCTCGCTCTGGTCCTCCTGGGAGTCTGCAGGCCTCCGGCTCGCTGCCGAGGCCGAGGTGGGTCAGCCGGGATCCATCCTCCCATGCCAGCTCTGGGGCTGGAGCCTGCAGCCTGCCCCTCTGACCCAGATGCTTGGCCCAGGGGGACCACCTGCCCAGGGAAGGGAAGGGCAGCCGGCAAAGTGTATCCAAACATGCACCCTGGCTTGTAGGAGTACCAGCTTTTAAAACCCAGAACAGTGGTAGGGAAGGTCTCATGCAAGTGGCTCTAATAAGGAAAGGAGTTCAAGGGGGGGTGGGATTTTTAAAAAGGCAGTTCTAAAGACCTGATTACAAACAATTTCAACAAGGAAAGAAAAGGCACAAAACAACAGAAGGAGGCAGTGTTGCCTCATGCAAAGCTTAGAGGTTACCTGAAAGCAAGCAAAAGAAGGGCATGTGCAGGAATGAAACTGATTAGGGAGAAATACCAAGTTCTGCACCTGGAAAAAAGAAGCCCATCCTGCAGTTACAAGATGGGGGGCACCTGGCTCAATGATACTGCAGGCCAGAAGGGTCTCAGAGTTGCTCAGCGGTCCTGCAAGGGAGACGGATTTTGGCATTCTTGCAGGTCCCAAGCTAAACATGAGTCAACAATTGGATGTGGTTGCAGAAAGGACAGATGCTACATTGGGTTGCACGAAGAGCAGCATCAGTTCTCAATTGCACAAAGTCCAGCTTCTTCACTGAGCTCTGGTTAGGCCTGATCTGGCATCTTTTCTCCAGAAAGGCAGGCAAAGTTCAGAGGAGAGCAAAAGGATGATCCAGGGCCTGGAAGCACAGCCCATGCGGAGCGCCTGGGAGCGCTGGGCCACTCAGCCTGGGGAAGAGAACCCTGAAGGGAGATGGGAGGCAGGCAGGGCCAGGATCCCTCCTCCATTATCTCAGAATGCTGGCCTCGAGTTACAGGAAGCTGGACTCTGGCCCAACATCTGGAGAAACTTCCTGCCTGTTGGAGCAGGAGAACAAAGAAGCCAGCTGCTCGGGGAAATGGAGGCGCTCCGCTCTGGAGGCCGGCAAGGTGCAGCCTCTGGCAGGGATGCTGCGGCCCAGAGTTCTGCACTAAGCGGGCGCTGCGCCCAGCGCGGCTCGGCTCGGCCCCCCCCTCCCAACGTGACTCTTCTCGGGCCGCTCTGCCTTGCAGTTCGCTGGACCCTGGCGCCCACTGTCCCGCCTGACCGTCGTCCTCCCTGGCACCTGCCCACCCAGCCCAGCAGGGCGGAGCCGCCTGCCCCAGGTAGGAGCGGTGTGGGGCCCGCTGGAGAGCCAAGGCAACGTGCCCGGCGGCTGTGGGGGCTGGAGGGTTGGGGAGTCTGGGCAGGGCTCAGAAGAGGGGCAGGGGACTGCACAGAGGTGAGGTGGGGCAGTGCGAGGCCCAGCCATGCCCTTCTTCCCCAGAGACGGAGCAGGGCGTGTGCGAGCAGCGGCCCCAGGTGTGCGGGCCGGGACGCTGCATCCCCCGCCAGGGCGGCTACACCTGCGTGTGCGAGCGCGGCTACTGGCTGAGCCCTCAGGGCACACACTGCGTGGGTGAGTGGGGCGGCGGGTGGGGGCAGCTGGACCCGGGAGCTTTGAGGGAGGGGGCACTCCTGCCCGGCTGTCCGGGGGAGGCAGGCTTGCAAAGGCCCCGAGGTCATTGAGCCTCTGCCTGAGTGGATTCTGAGGCTCCCGGCGGGCTGGCCTGGCGTGGGGCAGGCCTGGCGGAAGACCCCTCTCCCCAGAGTCCACTGGGAGCTGGGCAGGGGCGGCCCTGCCTGGCCACGCCGCTGCCAGTGGCCACCTCTGCCCCCACCCCCACCCCCACCCGACCCCCTGCTCTGCCCGCAGATGTGGACGAGTGCCGGCGGAGTCCGCGCCCGTGTGCGCACGGCCACTGCGAGAATTCGGTGGGCAGCTTCAGCTGCAGGTGCCGGGCCGGCTACCAGGCCGACCCCTCGGGAGCCGAGTGCCGGGGTGCGTTCTGCGTGGGCCGGGGGCGCCCGGGGCATGGGTGGGAGGCGGGGGCTGCTCCTGCCCGCACCGTGCACTCGCCCCTTTCGCTGCTTCCCCGCAGACATCGACGAGTGTGCCAAGTCCCCACCGCCGTGCGCCCAGGGGCGCTGCCATAACACGCCCGGCTCCTTCCGCTGCTCTTGCCCCGGCGGCTACCACCTTGACCCCGCTGGCTTCGAATGCCAGGGTAAGTGGGGGGGGAGGCTGTGTCCCCGGCAGTGCTGGGGCTGCAGAGGGCCGGGGCTGGCCTGCAGGGGAAGCTGGAGCCCCTGCGGTGGAAGATGGAAGGCCGGGGCACCGCTTCTTCTGTCCCCTGCTTCCCTCCCTCCCTCCTTCCCTCCAGCCCGACTGGAGGACGGTGCATCGTCCCTCAGTTGTCCTCTAGGCCTCGTTCCTCCAGTAGATGCAACACCTGGAGTCAAGTGGGATGTAGCAGTGAAGTCTGCAGTGCCTCTGAGCCTGTGCAGAGTGTCTCTCACCTCACCACTGGATTACTTAGCCGGTTCCCAGATGCGTCTGGGTGCATGGGGCGGGTGCGAGGGAGCGCCCTGCGGAGAGGGCCGAGGCTGTGGGGGTGGGTGGAGGAAGCCCCTCCTGCTGTGGGGAACGGCAGGGAGGCCAGGGGGAAGCTGCTGCCGCCTGCCTGTTTCCAGATGTGGACGAGTGCCAGGAGAGCCCTTCCATCTGCCAGCCTGGCCGTTGCGAGAACGTGGCTGGCGGGTATCGCTGCACCTGCCCAATCGGCTACCAGCCCAGCCCGCCGGGGACCCAGTGCGTAGGTGAGGGTGCGTGGAGGGGCCCACGCTCGGCTCCCAGCCGGACACGTGGGGAGCAGCGGGGGCCTGCCTGCGCGCAAAGCTGCTTTCCCGCGGCAGCCCCTGGCTGCGGACGGGGCTCGCAGGCCGGGGGGCAGCTTCCAGGCTAGCCGGGGGCCTCTGACCACCACTGTCTCTCCTGCCCCGTGTGCAGACGTGGACGAGTGTCAGCAGAGCCCCCCGCCCTGTGGCTCTGGGCGCTGCGAGAACGCGCCCGGCGGGTACCGCTGCCTCTGTCCGGCCGGATTCCGCGCCAGCCTCACGGAGAACCAGTGCCTTGGTGAGAGGCCCCACGGGCCAGGGGAGCAGGGCCGGGGGGGCGCCACTGGCCCCTCCTCTGACGGCACGTCTTCCCCGTGCAGACGTCGATGAGTGCTCGGCGGGGGCGCCCTGCGGCCCTCGGGGCCACTGCGTCAACACGGAGGGCTCGTTCCGCTGCCAGTGTGGCCAGGGCTACCGGGCAGACGGCACCGGGGCCTCCTGCGTGGGTGAGTGCCGGCCGGCGGAGCGCAGGCCACGGGGAGGGCCGGCCCCCTGAGTGCGAGGGGTGTGCCCACTGCCCTCGCTGGCCCCGGGTCATGTGCTGCGGCATTCCCCGGCCTGCTGCTTTGGGCCAGGCCGGCTGGGAGGGGGCAGGACGCGGGGGGGCCTGGGTGCTCATGCCCAGCCTTGCCGGCCAGACATCAACGAGTGCCTGGAAGGCGACTTCTGCTTCCCACGGGGCGAGTGCCTCAACACCGACGGGTCCTACACATGCCTGTGTGCCCAGGGCTTCGCCACCGCACCCAGCGGGGCCTCCTGTGTGGGTAAGCGGCCTCGGCCTCTGCCAGGGGTGGGCGGGGGGCTCCGGGCCTTTCCTTGGGCCCCGTGCCAGGAGCTGCCCTTCTGAGCACCCTCCCTCCTTCCTGCAGACATCGACGAGTGCCAGGGCAGCGCGGTCTGTGCCGGCGGGCACTGTGCCAACACGGAGGGCTCCTTCGATTGCTACTGCCCGCCTGGCACCCGCAGCAGTGCCAACAAGGCCTCCTGTGAGGGTGAGCGGCCGAGAAATGCCGGGAGGGGAGCCTGCTGGGGCACTTCCTGAGCAACTCTCTCTTGCTTCGGGAAAGGGTGGTTCTTTTGCCCCCCAGGGCCCCAGACATGGCCCCCGAAAGCCTGCATGGTACAGCCTGGTAGCCTCCCCCGTGCAGTGGGCAGCCGCGCCCCCTCCTTGTGGCAGGAGCATCTTCCACCAAGTGGGGCGCTCGCTCCCTCTGTTACGGGCCGCCCAGGCCGAGTGTGAGCAGAGGCTTGCAGGGCATAGCAGAGGGCCCCTCAGCCCCCTGACGCTTAGCTGGAGATGCTGCTGAAAGGGACCAGCCTGGAATGCTGGTGTGCAGGGCTGGCCCCAAAGGCTCGGCCCCTTCCTCGGCTGAGCGTCATCTCATCGTCCCCTGGCCAACTCAGAGCGGGTGACCAAGGCAGTAACATCACTGCAACCTGCAGCATCCACCAGGACCCCTCCCAGCCGCATCCTGTGCCAGGGCTGCACGGAGCCAGTCTCTGCGGGGGGGGGGGGGGGCTCGACCCCCTGCGGCCTCTGTGGCATCCTCCACAGTCCCGCCACGATGAAGGGCAGCTCGGCCCCGGCACGCTTTCTGCTTCAGCCCCCACAGCTCCCAGGGCTGGGAGGGGCAGGCTCCTGCATCGCCTCGGCCTCTCTCCCATCACCCTGCAGATATCGACGAGTGCCAGGAGTATGGGGCAGCCCTCTGCGGGACGCGGCGCTGCGAGAACTCGGCCGGCTCCTACCACTGCGTGGCGGAGTGCCAGGAGGGCTACCAGGCCGGCAGCAACGGGCAGTGCGCCGGTGAGTGCTGCCACGGCCCAGACGGTGCGGCTGCTGTGTCGGGCGGCCCCCTTCTGGGGCAGGGGCTGGGAAGCCCGCTGGATTGCACTGTGACGGCAGAGGACAGCCCCTGCTGGGCAGCTTCAGAGCATCACCCGCTTCCCTCCCTGCCTGCCCCAGACATCAATGAATGCCAGGAGTACGGGACCGGCCTGTGCGGGGAGAAGCGCTGCGAGAACACGCCGGGCTCCTATCGCTGTGTGGCCGTCTGCCGGGCCGGGTACCAGGCCACTGGCACTGGGGACTGCCTGGGTGAGCGCCGAGCGCGGAGCTGGCACGGGGGAGGCGCTGCACTGGCCGCCGGGGCCACGGCCCCCAGCCCCTGCCTGCTGTGCCTGCACCCGGGGGGGGCATCGGGGGGGGGGGGCCGCCCTGAGCGCCTCGGACACCCTCTTGCAGACGTGGACGAGTGCGGGAACAGCTCTCTGTGTGGGGCCCACGCCACCTGCCACAACCTGCCGGGCTCCTTCCAGTGCATCTGTGACCAGGGCTACGAGAGCACCAGGGACGGGCAGCTCTGCCTGGGTATGTGGCCGTGCGTGGCGGGGCGAGGTGGGGCACAGGGCAGGGACATGCCAGTCCCTCTCACTGCGCCTCCCTCCGCTCCTCACAGACGTCAACGAGTGCGAGACCCTGCAGGGGGTGTGTGGCGCGGCCCCCTGCGAGAACGTGGAGGGCTCCTTCCTCTGCATCTGCCCTCGAGCTGGCGAAGAATTCGACCCAATGACGGGGCGCTGCGTTTCTCTGCCGGGCGCTGGTGAGAGGTGGCGGGGGGGGGGCACGTTGACAAAGGGGCTGCTGAGCGGGGAGAGGGGCTTGTACCGCCACCGGCTGGCTAGGGCTGGCTCGTCCCCAGCCTTCCTCTTGGGGAGGGGCTCGCCATGTCTCTGTCCCCACATGGGGAACCTCTGAAGGCGCCTGTGGCTGGATGCAGACAAGCCGGGTGAGGCTGGCCCAGCTCTCAGACTCTACGACAGCGGCCAGGAGCCAGCCGTCCTTGGAGTGCTCTGGCCTGGGGGTGCAGATCCGTCCCCGGGCTCCGGGGCAGCTCCCCGCTGAAGGCTGGGGTGGCGTGGGGCTGGAGGAGGGAGGGCTCCTCGGGGGGGCCGGCTTGCCACAAGCAGCTGTCGAGAGTTCTCCAAGGAGCCGTCGCCAGCAGCATGTTTCACGTTGCGTCCTTTGGGCCGTACGCCATCCACGTAGCGGGGAATCCTTGCGATGGTGGAGCACTTTGCTTGGCGGCCTGGACTCTGTCACACGCCGCATCCCCTCGGGTCCCAGCCAGGACCGCGCCTCCTCCCGCTCCAGCACGCGCCCCTTTGTGGCCGAGAGGCAAGCGAATCTTTTTTACACACCGGTGACGAAAGGAAGAGAGATTTATTGCGTTAGAAACACAAGGCGCAAAGACACAGCTGAGCACGTGCGTGCGCGGCCCTCCTGCTCCTGGGACCCCAAGCAGCAGCGAGGGGCTCCTTCGGCCCGGCTGCACAGCGGGGTCCAGCCTGGGGAGGGGAACCGCCCCAACTTGCACACGTATAACTACCAAGGTTGCACCTGGTATTGATTACCGAGGGGGGAGAGGTGATAAATGGTCTATACGAGGCCAAGTAGCCAAGGCTGACGGATAAAGGTCTCCAGCTCTTGCCCACACTGAAGATTAATCTCGTCCTCCCCAAACCCTGTGCCAGGCGCTAATCGAAGGCATGCGGCCGTCTGGGCCAGGACTGCATGGATTAACATCGCAGCACACGAGAGCGAGCAAAGCTGACGAGAACGCGGTCCTTTGCCGGGGCCGGGGCGTGGGCCGGAGGGACTGTGGCACAGGCCACCTCCCGACGCTCACGGCAGTCCTCTGGGTCCGTGTAACCAGCCAGCCCTTGCCTTGCAGCGCACGCCCCAGTCTTCCCCAGACGTCCAGAGGTGTCGCGGCCGGAGCCCCCCACGGCCGGAGCCGACGGCGGCCTGCGCCGCGAGTGCTACTACGACCCCAGTGCCGCGCAGGCCTGTGAGAACGTCCTGGCGTGGAACGCCACGTGGCAGGAATGCTGCTGCAGCCTCGGCCACGGTTGGGGCACCGACTGCCGCATCCAGCCGTGCCCCTCCCGGGAGACAGGTGAGGCCGTGGCCACGGAGGGGCCCCAGGCGGCCGCCTGGGCTGCAGGACGCCTCCTCTCGCTCGCCGGCCAAGCGGCACCAGGGTGGGCGAGGGCCATGCGGAGGCGCGGCAGAGGCAGGCGGAGCGAGGGCTGCCCACGTGGTGCTGCTCGGGGCAGCTTCGTTCCTGCTGCACGTCCTCGGGCCCTGGCAGTGCGCTCTGGGCAAGGCAGAAGGACGGGGGCAGTGAGCGCTTTGGCTTGCGGGGGGCTGGGGGGCTGCTGGGCACAATGCACGGTGGGTGGCTTAGCCTCTCAGGCAGAAAGCCCTCGGGCAGCGGGGTTGCGGGATTGCTGGGGTGCCCAAAGAGAGCCAGGGAGGGAGCAGGAAGGAGGGTGAAGGCTGGCCGTAGGGCACAACCCGTGCCCGGCCCTTCAGTGCGTGACGGTCCTGCCGCCGGTGGGATCGCGCCTCTGCTGCAGGAAGCACTCGCCCCGCAGACTGGGAGGCTTCTCCTCTGGACCACCCAGCCTCAGGGCACGAGGTGGCTGGGGAGGCGCCCTGGGGGGGGCGCTGTCTGGCCCCCCTCTGCACCTGGGTAGTGCCTTCAACAGGTCTAAAGCGACCATCCCAAAACCAAGTCGCTGACCTGCAGAAGGCGCGAAGGGAGATGCGCATTCACGGGCCTTTCGTGCCTTGATCAGTGTGATGGCGGTTCAGAACGTTTGCTCCAAACAACCCTCTCATAGTTTCATACATCAGAATCATGGACAAACGTATGAAGCCATTTCCAATGTGTTTATGAAGACTTTCTGGCACCCGGAGGAACAACTGTTTGCTTTGGACGGACTGTTGGAGGAGGAAGTTGCGCAGTGCTGGCGACCTGGCCTCTTTCGCAAGCCTTGGCCTGCGACTCCCATTGTGCTGCCCCCTTTCTGTGCTGGCTGATGGGAGCGCTAGGCCAGGACGCCTCGGGGGCCACGGTGCCCTTGAAACCGTGCGGACGCTGTCCCGATATGCCGGCCGCAGAGTCCCCTTCGGTGCCTCCCGTCCGAACAGGAAAGCGGCCAGGAGGACAAGTGCTCCAAGAAGTCCACTGGCTTGGCCAGTGCGATGCCCCTTCCTTCCAGAATGTTTGGGGGCTAAAAGTGTCCCCCGGGGAATGGCAGCCAGCAAGCAGGCCCAAGTGCCCTTTTCCCATGCGGAATTCTTTGGGCATATTTTACCGCCCTGAGAACCACTGGAATTTGGCTTAGGGCAGCCGAATGTCCCCAGATCTTGGATTCTTGTTGTTTCAAAGAGTGGCCAAGGGACATTCTAGGAGGAGGAGAATGATAAGGCACTCGACAAGAATCCGCAGATCCCACGGCTTTGCAAGCGCTAAGAGGAAAGGATGGGCGGGGGGGGACTTGCCTTGCCAAGAAAGGCGACTCCAAGTGAACGAGAGTTCAGTCCCGCTTGCTCCATAAGAGTTCCTTTGTTCTGCGGTGCAGTCCTGGGCGTATTTACTTGGAAGGCAGCCCCACCGGGGTCCGTGGGACCGGCTTCCGAGTAGGGTGCACGAGGGCGCTTCCCTGCTGGCCGGCCAGCTGAGGGAGCAGCTGCGCCCTCAAAGACGTTGTGTGTGTGTGTGGGGGGGGGTCTTGGCTGCCGCTGCTGATGCCACTTTCTTTGCCCCAGCCGAGCACCGGTCCCTGTGCCCCCACGGCAATGGCTACGCTGCTGCATCTGCTGGCCCCGGAGGCGCCTTGGCCTTCGCAGGTGGGAATGGCTCGGGCTCCTCAGGGTCTGGCTGAGCTGGCCCGCTGGAACGGGGGGGCTTGTGTGGGGAGGGGGGAGCAGCGGACAGCCCCAGGCCCCTCCCCAGAACCTCCGGGGCGGGGGGCCGGGATGCTCCGGCAGGAGACCCCAGGGGTCCCTGTGGCCGGCGCTGCCAGCCCGACTCGGCTGGGGAAGCGGGGGGGGGGGGGGCTGGAGCCAGTGTCCCGAGCGCGCAGCCTTCTGGGCCCCCTCCCCAACTCGCACCTTGCTCCCCCCGCACAGACGTGGACGAGTGCGCCCTCTTCAGCTCCCAGGTGTGCAGAGGCGGCGTCTGCGTGAACAAGATTCCCGGCTACTCCTGCTACTGCCCCAACGGCTACTACTACGAGACGCAGCACCTGGAGTGCATCGGTGCGGCTCAGGTGCCCCCAGGGGCGATCGCGGGCTCCTGCGCTGGGTGAAGGCGCAGGCGGGGGCCCCTCTCTGCGCCTGCACTGGACGTCCTCCTTGTCTCCCCAGATAACGACGAGTGCCTGGACGAGGAGGCGGAGCCCTGCGTGGGGGGGCGCTGCGTCAACACCCTCGGCTCCTACCACTGCGAGTGCGCTGCCCCGCTGGTGCTGGACGGCTCGCGGCGCCGCTGCGTGGCCAACAGCAGCCAGGGCTCCGGTGAGGGCTTGGCGGGGATGGGGGGCGCGGGGCGCTGCGGGGCGGTTTGCAGGGCGACGCAGCCCGTCTTGCCTCGCATGCTCAGGCGCACGGGCCCAGCGCCCCAAGCGCAGTGCGTGTCTGTGCAAAGCGGAGTTGCGGGTTGGCTCCCCGAACGGATGCCTGAACCATCCCGTCTCGCCCCCTGCCCAGTCAGCCACACGAAGAGCCCCCTCTGCACGCTCAGAAGGTGGCTCGGGGGGCCGCTGCGGGAAGGGGAAGGCAGTCCCCGCCCCGTCCCCACGGGCCATGTGCAGATGGGCAGCCTTCCCAAGCACCTGGGCCGCCAGCAGTGCCCGTCCTGCCAGGCCCCCTTGGGGCAGCCGCCACCCGCTCCCCCTCGGACATGCCGCTCTTGCGTCTCCCCAGGCCTGCCCCATCTGTTCTTCAGGGGCTGGGCCAGCTGCTGCTTTGGGCTTCTGGGGCAGGGGAAGGGGGGCTGCGGCCACCACCAGCTTTCTGCTGCTCCGCCTTGCGCTGCCCTCCTTCCCTCCCCACCACTTGCCAAGTTTTCTGAGAAGCACCCCCCCCCCCCGGTCTTTCTTCCTCCACGGCCTCAGCACCTGGGGGAGATGCTCCTGTGCCATTTCGGCTGCCCTCACTCATAGCTATTCCAGCTCTGCAGAGTTTTCTTGGAAATGCTGGGCTGGGGGGGTGGGGGGAGTGTTTCCCTCGTGGCTCCCAATTCATGCCGGCGCCTTCTTCACCCCCAGGCGACCACCTGTCTGTGTGCTGGCAGGAGGTGGGCCCGGACCTGGTGTGCAGCCACCCCCGCCTGGACCGCCAGCTCACCTACACCGAGTGCTGCTGCCTCTATGGGGAAGCGTGGAGCATGGAGTGCGCCCTGTGCCCGGCCCGCGACTCCGGTGAGGCTGCTTCCCGCTCCTGGAGCCCGGCTGGCCGGGACCGGGGGCAGTGTCCAAAAGTGGCGGGGGGGGCTGGGTGCCAGTCTCGGAGGTGTGTCTGTCCACTGGGCCTCCTGCTCTGCGGAGGGAAAGCTTCGCCCGTGGCGGGATCGGGGGAAACCGCAGAGCTCACCGCCCCGAACGCAGCCCAGTGGCAGCCTTCGCCCCATGGCCCTCTTTGCTTGCAGGTCCTGCACTCATGGGGGGGGCACGAAGGGGCCCCTTGCTGATTCTCGCCTTTCCTTCCCAGATGACTTTGAGGCACTGTGCAACGTCTTGCGCCCCCCCAGCTATGGGCCGGTGCACCCAGGAAGTGTGGGGCTGCCCTTTGAGTATGGCGGCGGTGGCGGCTTCCTGCCCTACAGCCCAGAGATATTTGCCCCAGCCCCTCGGCCGGACCCCCGGCTTCCTGACTTCGGTCCTTTTCCCCGTGACTCCCTCTACGGCCTGCCACCCTACGAAGCCCCCGACTTTGAAGAGCTGCCCTACAGGGATACGCTGCAGCAGAGCCCCGCAGAACCCCCCCGGGGCAGCTACCGGCCACGCAGCCCCCCCGAAGTGGAGTGGCAGTACCCCTTGCACGACCGCGAGAGCACCTACCCCGAGCGGCCGGGCAGGGCCAGTGAGGGCTACAGTGAGTGGAGCCGGGCTGTGTGAGGGGCACGGGGGGGTGGGGTTGTGGGTGGGAGAGAGACCACCTGAGCGGAGGCCTGGGGGTGGGGGGCATGGCCCTTGCCACACGGCTTGGGGGAAGGCAGACGGGCTGGCGGCCCTGCCGGCCAGGGCAAGCCCTGGCAGCCACGTGTGGCTAACCGCTCCCGTCCCCCGCAGGCCGCTTGGAGGGCTTCGGGGGGCTCCAAGCCGAAGAGTGCGGGATCCTGAGTGGCTGCGAGAATGGGCACTGTGTCCGGGTGGGCGACGGCTTCACCTGCGACTGCCACGAGGGCTACCGCCTGGACCCGACCCGCATGGCCTGCCTTGGTGAGAGCCAGCGCCAGGGCCAGGGGCAGGGGCAGGGCCTGGCCCCTTCTGGGCCTTTGCCGCCGGCTCGGCTCCTGCTGCTGCCAGGCTCCAGTGGAGGCGGCGTGGCCTCATGGCCCCCGCCTGCCCTGCCCGGCTCAGCCCCTCTTTCCTCTCTCCTGCCCCACAGATGTCGACGAGTGCAGTGAGATGGAGGGCGTCTGCCCGGGCGGCCGCTGCCTCAACATGGACGGCTCCTACCGCTGCCTGTGCCCCCGCGGCACGGTGCCCGTCGGGCAGCCGCCCCGCTGCGTCCCTGCCCCTCGCAGGCCAGCCTGAGCTGGGGCAGAAGTATTTATTGCCTGTATAGACTGGGGACGGGGAGGGGCTTTGGGAGCGGAGGGACACGTGGGCCACCCCCAGGCCCACGGGAAGACTGCCCAGGAGCCGGCCGTGACCAGGGGGTGCCCTTGGTCCGGGGGGGGAGGTTCCACCCAGCTTTACCCCACTTCATGCAGACAACTGGGGAGGCCTGCAGAGGAGCCAGTGCCCCGGGCATGTGGCCTGTGGAAGGGAAGCGCCAAGTGGGGCTGAACCTTGTGTCCGTCGCCCACCTGGCTGAGCTGCCCCCCGCCCACACGGGAGGCACCGACGGACCGTGTGGGGCCCTCCCCACCCTCCTGCAGTGGGGAGACCTTTTGCGGTGGGGGTGGGGAGTTTCTGGGTGGCTTGCTTTGGGTCAGCGAGGAACTGTGGGGGGCGACCACTGTGCCAAGGGGAGGGGGAGTCTCCAAAGAGACCCTGTGGGTTCCTGGTGCCTACGTGCCCCCCACCCCTGGGCAACACCTCTCCTTCCATCTCGCCACGGCTCCTCCAGTGCAGGCACTGCCCAGAAGCTGCTCTCTGGCCTTCTGGAGACGCAAGGCTGGCCCCGGCCGGGGGGCCTTGCTGGGCTCTCCTGGGAGGCGCTGCTGGCCCTGCCACGCCCTGCGTCTTCAGGGCTCTGCATCTCCTCGGGGGACGCCTGCCTCCTCTGAGGGGGCCTTGGGCTGAGGAGAGTCGGCAAAAGGGCGGCGGCGGTGGCATGTGTCCCCTGCCTAGGTGAGGACGCTGTTCCAGGGTGCAGGGGAGCAGCCGGCCTCCCGCCTGGCCCCCCCCCTCTGCCTGGACTGCTCCACCAGAGCCCTCGGCCAGCTCCACCACAGGACCGTGGGCTCCTCGGAAAGATGTGGGCATTTCAAGGGTGGCAGCCCCCCGGGGGTGGAGAACCGGTGCAGGAACCCGGCCGGGATGCTGTGCCCACCTCCGAGCACCAGGACGAGAGAAGCGGCCTCTCGCCTCTCCTGCACTGCAGCCCCTCTCGACTCCAGCAGCTATTCGGTCCTTGCGCGGCCACCCACCCCCCTCCCCGCACCCCAGCCGCACGCTTCCCGAAGGCACCGGTCTGCCCCTGGTCGCCTCTCTAGGCCCGAGGGGGTGGGGGGCTCACTGCATCCCCAACACGCTCACTGCTGTTACTGGACCAATAAACATTTTGTATAAAAGGCGTTGCACCATTCGTTCGGGAGGCAGGAGGAGTGGCAGGCTGGGGGCAGAGGCAGCGTGAGGGTGGGGAAGGAAGGAAGAGCGGGTGCAAGCCCCTCTTCCCCAGGGACCTGGGCACGTGTCCAACCAGAAGAGTGGGGACTGGCACGGGGAGGTCCGTTCCCCCTTCGGATGTGGAAGAAGAGCCGGGCAGGTGGACCGGCAGCTGTTCGGGGATCCGGGAAGAGGGGCGTCAGCCCACTCGCCCATTCATGGGGTAGAAACCAAGCCCATCGCTGTTCCCATTCATTCTGCACGGGCATAAATGGCACATTAAGGGCCATGGGGGGTGGGGCTGTCATGTAGGGCCCACCCCTTTTCGCCTGCTCTGTGCAGCCCGATTCCCCCTCAGAGCAGCGGACTTCGGCCCCCGCACCTCTCCTGCAACGCTCGTCTCGGTTTGCAATAACTTTACAGAAATCCACAGCTCGCTTTCATAACTGTATTAAATTAACTGCGCAAGATGGCACGCGGATGCTGGGGTGGAGTGGGGAAAGCAGCCGTCCCCCGAGAGGACTGCACGGCAGCCGAAGGCTCGGCGGCACAGGAGCCGCCTCCCGAATTCCTCCGCGGTGCCCACCTGGCCAGCCAGGTGGAAGGGCAGGTGGGCAGCAGGGAAAGGCTGAGTTTCTGACAAAGGTGAACCTGAGACTCACGAGCAGCAGCAGCCCCCATAAAATCTGAGAAGCTGCTTGGGCTCAGAGCCAGAACTTCTCCAACTTCTAGAGAAGGGGCGTTCCCGACCTCCCGGTGACTGAAAGGTCAGGAAGCTTCAACCCGCTGGATGGAAACCTCCAGGGCTGGCAAGGGACAGAGAAACACCCAAGGCAAGGGCAGCTGGTGGCCTGAAGCGTCTCTTGCCGGCTGTGGGGAGCAGTGCAGAAGGCGGCTCGGATGCCTGCGGCTATCTGCCGATGGAGGCGTAGGTGGCCCGCCCCGCCGAGCTCCGCTGCACCGGCTCCTCCTCTGACTGGCCCGGCTCCAAGGGAGGGTCCTGGGCCTCCGGGATGCGCTCGTGGTCAGCATGGGGCGGGTCCTGGGGCAGGAGGACCAGGTCAGTCAGGCCGTGCCGGTCGGCCAGCCTGTGGAAGGTCTGGAGCAGCAGGAGCATGGCCGTCAGTCCCAGGAGCAGGTAAACTGGGGGGAGGAAGAGGGGTGAGTGGGGGAGGCACGCAGAGGGCCGCTCCTTCCTCTCCCACATCCCAGGCTGGGTCCCAAGAGCACCCCACATCCCGCAACCTGTGCCATGCGGCTGCCGTGCCTTGACCCCCTGGCCTGTCCTGGCTTCCTCTGCAAATAAAGATGGGCATGTTGCTGCTCCGGCCAAGAAGCTGAGGCTGAGGCTGGCCCTTGGGCCCCCTCTGAGGTCAGGCGCAAGCCCCCTGGGGGTCTTTCATGGCCCCCTGCCTCATGCCTTCCACCCATCCCCACTGCCTCCCTCCATGTACAGTGGTGCTTACCTGTGATGGACAGCTTGTAGAGGGGGCGCAGCTGCTGCCCCGGCTGCTCGCCAGGCACATAGTCCCCCAGGCCAATGGTGCAGAGGGAGATGAAGCAGAAGTAGAAGGCGTCCAGGTAGCTCCAGGACTCCTCCAGCGTGCTGAAGACGGCCGCGGGCACCAGGAAGAAGGCGGCCAGCACCACCAGGGCCAGCAGCGCGAGGTGCCCGCAGGAGGCGGCCCACTGGCTGCAGCCCCGTCGCAGGGCCAGGGCCTCCAGGGGCCTGGGGGAGAGGGTGCTGGTGAGGCGCTGCACGGTCGCCGTCAGCACCAGCATGGTGAAGGGGACCCCCAGCAGCGCGTAGAAGATGCAGAAGGCCTTGCCCGCGTCCGAGAGGGGCGTGGTGTAGCCGTAGCCTGTGGGCGAGAGGAGGGGCGCTCAGGGGCGGCGTGGCCAAGGGGCCGCTGCGCCTGCCGTGGAAGTAGGGCCGGCCCCAGCCATCACATTTTGGAACCGGAGTCCCTAAAGCTGCACAAACACCCTGGAGAATGAGGAGGTCTTTGCAGGACTGAGGAGGACTTTGCGGAGCAGAGCAATCCAGAGCTTCCCTGGAGGCAAATGTGACAAACGGAGGCTCTCATATTTTGGGGGGTGGCATGAGTGGAGCCAGCTGGAGCCGGGGGCCAGACCAGGTGGCCTGGGAGGCCCCTTCTGACTCGCTTGCTTTCTGCGTTTCTACATTTTGCTTTTGGCCCCAGCATAAGAAGGCCAGACTTGGTGGGGAAGAGAGTCATGCTGGGGAGAGCTGAAGGCAGAGGAAGACCAACAAAGAGACGGAGCGGCCCATAAAGGGAGCCTCAGCCTTGTGTGTGCACGAGCTGAGCGGGCTGCCGGGCACGGAGCACATTCGTTCCCAGGGCGGCAATGGAAGCCCCCGCGAGGCCCCGTGCTCGGCGCCAGCTGAGCCCCAGCTGGAGTGCGGCATCCAGTCCTGGCGCCACGTAAGAAAGATGCTGACACACCAAAACGGTTCGGAGGAGGCAACAACAGACAAAAAGACTGGAAACAAACCCCGTGCAGGAGCAACTGCCAGTACTTGAAGGACCGTCACAAAGAGGAAGTCGCCCCACAGCGCAGGATGTGGACTAACCGGCTCCAGTTACAGGAAGCTGAATACAGGCAGCGGAGCCCATCCCCCAGGGGAGTGTTCGAGACGCGGCCACCGGTGGGGGGCGCCTTGCCTCTGAGGCCGGCCCGGAGCAGGTGCTTGGACCCTGAGAAACCTGAATGCTGGGCTGAAAGCAGCCGAATGAGACCCAGCGGGAACATGAGCCAAGTCCTTCACGTGGGAAAAAAAAGCCAAATGCGTCAGTGCAAGAAGGGAACATGTGGCTCAAAAGCAGTGAAAAACACCATGGAGCACTTGAGGACAACAGGCTGAACTGCAGCCAACAACACGATGGAGCTGCGAAAAGGGCAGGTGCTATTGCTGTCCATCACCAGAAGTACTACTCCCACATCATGAGAAGCAGGAGTTCCCCTATGCTCCCCACGAGTAAGAATGCGGTGTTGAGTTCCAGGCACCAAGATTTAGGAAAGATCCAGAAAATTAGACAGGGGACAGAGGAAAAAACATGAACCTGAGGTGGGAAACTCTGCCCTACGAGGAGAGACGGAGAGAAAGGGGCATGTTCAGCTTGGAAAACAGCAGACTCGGCGGGGAACCAATCTATCTCTAGAAGTACCTCAAACACTGTCACATGAAGGAGGTGAACATCTCTTCCAGCTGTCCTCAAGGAGGGCATAATCAGAATAGCCCACTTTTCAATGGAACGTTACCCCCATATTAGGGTTAGGGCTGTGTACCAGGGTAGGGTTAGGGTTAGGAAAACGAGGTGTCCTGGCAGGATTTTGATGGTTGGAGTGTGTTCAGAACGGGAAGAAATGATGAGCTGCGCAGAAAAAGCTCGTCAAGGAGGGCTTTTTCAAAACCGCCCTCCTTTCAAGGGAACTTTCACCCCCTATTAGGGTTAGGGCTGTGCACCAGGGTAGGGTTAGGGTTAGGAAAACGAGGTGTCCTGGCAGGGTTTTGATGGTTGGAATGTGTTCGGGATGGGCAGAAATGACGAGATGCGCAGAAAAAGCTCCTCAAGGAGCATATTTCAAAACCGCCCTCTTTTCAAGGGAACTTTCACCCCCTATTAGGGTTACGGCTGTGCATCAGGGTAGGGTTAGGGTTAGGAAAACGAGGTGTCCTGGCAGGGTTTTGATGGTTGGAGTGTGTTCGGGATGGGCAGAAATG